TTATTCCATCTCAATTGAAAAACCATCTCTAAACCAGGTTTGAAATCTTGAAGACTAATGGATGAAGGACTTGTGGGATGATATCGAGAATACCATCCATGGAAAACTTCAAAGGTCATTACAAAGACAGAGGTGGAAGACGAAAATGGAAGTCAGAAGAAACGCTCAGCATTGCACTAGAATGCCAAGAAGCCAAAACAAAGGGAAGCAATTAGGAAGTTAAAGAGTTGAAAAAAGATTTCAAAGGGAGGCTCGTGAAGACAAAGCAAAGTATTGTAACAAAATGAGGAAAGAGCTGGAGTCAGAAAATCAAAAGGGAATGATTTGCTCAGCATTTCTCAAGCTGAAGGAACTGAAGAGCAAATTCAAGCTTCGAGTTGCAATACTTAAAGATGCTATGGGGAAAAATATTGTTTGATCAAGGAAGCATGAAAAGAAGATGGAAGGAATATACAGAGTCACTGTACCAGAAAGAATTGGCTGACACAGAACCATTCAATTAAGTAGCATATGATGAGGAACCAATGGTAATAAAAGAGAAAAGTAAAAGCTGCTCTGAAAGAATTTGCAGAAAGGACCCAGGAATTAACTGATAGAATACTACTTGACTTCTTTCAACAAACAGATGGTCCCCAGGATATGCCAAGAAATCTGGAGGACAGCTAACCTGGCCAGTTGACTGGAAGAGATCCATATTTATTCACATTGTGAAAATAAGGTGATCCAACAGAATGTGGAAATTATTGAACAATATCACCAGTATCACATGCAAGCCAAATCTTGCTGAGGATTATCCAAAAACTACTAGAACAGTACATTGACAGAGAACTGCCAGAGATACAGGCAGGGTTTAGAAGAGGCCATCACACTAGGGACATCATTGCTGATGTCATATGGATCGTGGCTATAAGGAGAGTACCAGAAAGATACCTATGTTTTATTGACTATACAAAGGCATTTGGCTGTGTGGATCATAACAAGCTGTGCCTAACATTGAGAAGAATGAGAATCCCATAGCACATAACTGTGCTCTTGCAAAACCTATACCTAGACCAAGAGACTGATGTGTAAACAAAGCACTGGAACACTGTACATGGTTTAAACTTAAGAAGAAAGTACATCAAGACTGTATTCTCTCTCCATACCTGTTCAATATTTATACTGAAAAAATTATTCAAGAAGCTGGACTCTATGAAGAAGAATGTGGCATCAAGATCAGAGGAGGACTCATCAATAACTTGTGTTATGCAGATGACACAACCTTGCTTGCTGAAAGTGAGAAGGACTTGAAGCACTTGTTGCAGAAGATCAAAGAATGCAGCCTTTAATATGAATTGCATCTCAATGTCAAGAAAGCAAAGATCCTTACCACATCGTGGTAGATGGAGAACAGATTCAAACTGTCAACAACTTCATCTTACTTGCATCCACAGTTAGCATGTTTGGTACCAGCAGTCAGGAAGTCAGGAGACATATCGCACTGGGAAACTCTGCAGTCAGAGACCTCTTCAAATTATTGAGGAATAATGATGTCAGTTTGAAAACTAAGGTGCATCTAATTCAAGCCGTAGTCTTTTTGACCACTTGCTGAACAACAAATAAAGATGACAAAAGAAGAATTGATACACTTGAGCTGTGGTGTTGGAGAAGATACTGAACATCTCATAGATGGTCAAAAGAATAAACAAATATGTCCTGGAGAAAGTGCAGCCAGATTTGCTCCTTGGATGCCAAGATGATGAAGTTTTGCCTGACATACTTCAGGCATGTTGCTACGAGGGCTATTCCTTGGAGAAGGACATGATGCTCAGAAAGGCAGAGGGTCAGCGAAAGAGCAGAAGATCCTCAACCAGGTGGATTGACATGGTGACTGGCACAGTGGCCTCTAATGTCACAGGAGGTGTAAGGATGGCATAGGCTAGGACAGGCTTTAGATCTGTTCTTTCTAGGGTCACTATGGGCCGTACTTGGCTCGACGCCCCATAACAACAACAATCTTTAAGAAGACTTTCAAATCCCCCATATATGAATTCTCTGCACTGAGGTAGTACTTCTGTGGATTCTAAAGGGCTTCGCTCCTATCTCTTTTGCTGCATTATGACACTTATGTCATAAAAACTTTGTCCCTTAAAAAATTCTCTAACTATAAGAGGGTACAGACTGCTCTTCATTAGTTGGACTTAAGTCTTAACTCCCGCTAAGGACTCAAAAAAATCCATACACAAAATGTCTATGACAAACAGAGTGACCAATCATCCCACTTTTCGAGGGACTGAGAAGTTTCCAGGGACATAGAACTTGCATGTAAAGCTTGGACTGCCCCATGCAAACTGGGACAGTTGATCCACCTAAATTGGCAGAGCACGTGTCCCCATACCATTTTCCCTGATGAACAGATAAATATATTTAACCCAATCCAGTTAGTAAATTCCATGTGGGTGATGCTGGTGGTTGTTAGGCATCATTGAGTCAAGTGTGACTCTTAGCAACCTTGGAAATGAGGGATCTGAACCCTGTCCTCTCCTGTGCTATCCTCACAATCTCTGGCACACTCAAGCTCATTGCTGCAGCCACTGTGTCAACCCACCTAGTTGAAGGTCTTCCTCTCTTTCATTGCCTTTCTACCTTCCCAAGTATAATGTCCCTCTCCAAGGAATAACCTCTCCTAGCAACAGTGACAGCGACCAAGAGAGAGGTACGTTGGCCTAGTGGAAAGGAAGCTATGCTACCAAGCCGAAGGTGGGTGATTTTCATCTGTGGCCCTCGGCCAGGTTCAAATTGTTTTCCTGTCAAACATTCTTCTAGGTGGTATAGCACTGGTCTGTGTGTTGCTGTACAGAGGTAACTCATGGTTGCTGTGATGTTGAAGACTGTGACAGTGATGTGCCAGTCGTAGTAATGGGTACCCATGGAGGGCAGTGTTGGCTGGAGCTTCCCGACTAAATCGAGCCTGGAAGCAGGAGCGGCATCCACTTCTGAAATGGCTTGCCTCCGGAAACTCTATGTACGAACAGTGCTCAGGCCGTTCATTCATAGGGTCGCTATGAGTCATCTACGACTCGACGGCATCAAACGACAACAACAAGAAACAGCAACATGTCCAGGGTATGTGAGAAAGTTCATCATCTGTGCCTCCAAAGAGCACTCTGGCTGCACCTTCTCCAAGACATACCTGTTTGTTCTTTTGGCTGTTCATGGGATCTTCAGCACTCTTCTCTGACTCCACACTTCAAAGGTACCATTTCTTCTTCTGTCAGCCTTATTCATTGCCCAGCTTTCAGATGCATAGTAAGTGACTGAAGAAACCATGGCCTGAATCAGGTGCACCTTAGTCTTACAGAGGCATCATTACTCCTCAATAATTTCTACAGGTCTCTGACTACAGATTTTTTTCCCAGTGCAATATGTCCCCTGATTTCCTGAACTGCTTGTACCAAGTGCACTGATTGTGGATCCAAGTAAGATGAAATCATTGACTGTCTCAATCCTTTCTCTGGTTGTCATCATGTTGCCAATCAGTCCAGTGGCGGCGGTTTTTGTTTTCTTGTTGATGGCATGTGATCTCCATTGAAGACTGCAGTGTTTGGCTTCCTGCAGCAAGTCTTCCTCACTGTAAGCAAACAAGTTCTATCACCCACATACCAAGGTTATTCATGAGTCTCCCGCCAATCCTGATGCCACATTTTTCTTCATAGAGTTCAGCTTCTGTAATAATCTGACTATACATCACTACTGGTGGGAATATTCATAAAATACTGCCTCCTCGCAACTCCCTCCCCCTTCTTTTCCTTGGCTCCAAGATTCCTTTAGAAATAGCACTCATTTTCACTCTTCACTGTGCTTCAGCGTGTCTTGGGAATCCTTTTAAAATATAGATTGTTGGACCTCACAGCATGAATTTCTGAGCTGATAAGTGTGGGCAGGAACTTAAGTGAGAAGTGATGCCAACCCTGCTAATCCAGGGACTCTGAGTACCTTTGTTTCAGTATTCTATTATTTTCTACTAAGTTTCATATATGAGCTCTGGTGGCCTCGTGGTAAGAAGCTGCACTGCAGTCCCCAAAGCATGTGGTTCAAATCCACCAAGGCCTTCACAGGAGAAAAATGGGCAGTCCCTACCTCTGTGATTTATTGCCTCTGAAAACATGCCAGAGGGTCAGCTATAGATCGATTCTGACTGGACATCAAACAACAAGAAGACAAACATATTCTAGAAGGGGTTGATGGGGAGTGGATCAACAAATGACTCTATAAGAGTCAATCTTGTTTTCTTTTTTTTACTTAAGTATGTCTGCGATGAGTACAGTTTCAGAAAAAGAAAGCAATCCTTCAAAAACAATGAGTGAAAGGAAAGGTTCTCACTTCCAGGCAAGGCTTGGCAGAGCTCCTGGGGAGTGCTGTGTGGTGGGGTTTAATTTGATGCTTGTGATTTCTCTGTGGAAAGTAAACAGGCTGCAGCTCCATTCAAATGACATTTGGTTCCTCTTATGTATGCTCAAGCTTCCCAGCTGAAACATCCTTTGTACTTGGTCGGAGTCACTGTTCCACAGTTATCATTTGCGCTGGCATACTACAGGAAAGAGGGTTTTGATAATACAGTACACATCCTTTTACCCTACAAAAAATTGAATAACTGACAAAAATATAAAAGCAATTCCCGATTGTAAATATTCGTTCTGTTCTGTGTGCCCAGCTTCTGTCCTTGGAAACAGCTATGATTTGCCTTCAATACACCGACATTGCCTTCTATTGTGGAAAAATGTCTTGTATTCTCAAAGAAATGTTCTTGACTGCCTTCACTTTGACATTGGATTTGTACTGGGAGAAACTGAACCATGGGGCTTTGATAGCAGAATTTAAATCCCATAACTGTCAGCAGTTTCCAGGAAAGTGCATTGAAATAGAAAACTTGGATGTTCTGTTGGGAAATAAAGTTCTATTCTAAATGGGCAATCTCAGAATTTACTGTTCATTGATGATTCTTTTGTCTTTGTCCTCAGCGTTCTGGCGGTGGCCTGGACATCCCTTTGTGTGCCTTCCAGGGGACGGTGTCTCTCCATGCTCCCACCGGGAAAACCCTGTCACTTTCGACCTATGAAGTAAGCACAGAAGGGCAAAAAATCACGCCAGCGTCTAAGAAAATAGAAGTTTATCGATCCAAGAGTGTTGGCCACCAGCCCAACTCCGAGGACTCCCCCTCCACGTTTGCAGACACCAGCGTGAAAATCCACTTGGAAGTTCTGGAAATCTGTGATAACGAAGAGGCCTTGGACACGGTGTCCATCATCAGCAACATCAGCCAGTCGTCCACACAAGTCAGATCCCCATCCCTGCGCTACTCGCGCAAAGAGAACAGGTTCGTTTCGTGTGACTTGGGGGAAACAGCCTCTTACTCTCTCTTCTTACCCACCAGTAACCCTGATGGTGACATCAACATCTCCATCCCGGACACGGTGGAAGCACACAGGCAGAACAGTAAAAGGCAGCACCCGGAGCGGGCTGGCTACCAGGAGGAGATCCAGCTGTTAAACAAAGCATACAGGAAGAGGGAGGAGGAAAGCAAGGGTAATTAGCAGGCATCTGGTCTGAGCAGAGTTAGAACAGGCTCAGCACCTGCAGACCGCTGACACCTTTGGTCTGGGCTGGTCCAATTTCTTCTTTATTTATTGGTTTACATACAGGAGCAGAGTTGGTACAAAGGTTCAAACACTCGGTTGATAACCCATCAGCTGTTGGATGGTAGAAAAAGGGCTTTTGTCAAGCTTGTCAGTGTTGGGACGTATGTGAGACAGGTCTACTCTTGTCCATCACGAGTGGGAATCGGCGGTGGGGTGGTTGGCTGACATCAGCTTTAAAGATTTCCTCGCTGATTGTTTTTCGTGCAACAGCTGGAGCTAGTGCAAACCCTTAAGTGCATTGCCGTGTTACTTACAGATCACACACTGTGATAATTAAAAGAGTTTCTTACCTGATTTCTGAAAATATTTTCTAAATCAAATTTGGTCTTGCTGACTAGTGTTTTTACTTGTGTTTGTCACCCTTGGCGTAAACTAAAAAACGAAACAAACCTAATGGGTGTTCTGGTTTCACGTACCTGTTTCCACATGGCCTCTACAGTGAGGGAAAGAGAAAGAGACCCTTCCTTAGAGGGATGGGAGAAATGTAACAAAACTCAGAGTTGTATTTGAATGTGCTTTATTTACTAAAACAAGCTTATCAGAGTAATTACTTTAGCTTTGCATTAATGTCTAAAAAAATATGTATTTGTGTAAAACGGCTAATTCGAAATGGAAAAATCCAATTTGGAAATACATATCTGTAGCCTGTAAATAACTGTTTCTCTAATTTCTATAAGACATAAACTATTTACTAAGTGTTTTCATGTCTCTTTTAAATGTAACAACATTTTCCTTTAGGCTTTTTCTTTCTCCAACTCTGTGAAGACCAGCTCTTAAAAATGCTGTGTGGTAATGGGTAGAACATGAAGCCTAATATGATTTGGAAAGATTGTAAATGTACACACATAATGTGTAGAATTTGTATTTGAATAGAAACTGGCGGGGAGGGGGGAATCCTTCAGAGAGAGATACCCAATAATTAACAAATTTTGGTAAAGCCGAAGAAAATTGGGAAGTCTAAAATGAAAGGGTCTACCTCTATGACTGCAGATGTGACAAAGTCTTTTAGCTAATATCAAAGCGTAGAAAATTATAGTTCTGGGGAGCTCTGGTGGCCTAGTGGCAAGAAGCTACAACTACAATCCCAGAGGTGCGTGGTTCGAATCCACCAGATGCTCTGCCGGGGAAGGAGGGGCAATCTCCTCCTGTACCAGTCAGATCTGATTTGACGGTACACACACACAAAAAATTTAAAAAAAAAAATAAAAAAAGAAAATTATAGTTCTAATTTTAGTTCAAACATAGGTGCTTTTTAGAGTTACCTCTTGAGGAAAATGTGTATCATAAGGCAACTAACAATCTGTGGTATTTTATTAAATGGTTGCAAGGTATGCATTCCGAGATTATGTATTAGATTATGTAAGTGCAGGAATCACCTTGTCAAAGAATCAATACAGTATATTTCAGAAATTATGAACTGTCTTTTCCTTCAATTGTTTCATTCTGATATCCCTTCAAATATTTATTAAATGTATGACTTATTATGTCTATGTAAATGTTTATTTTTTCAGTCATGAAAAGTTGACATTTTGATGGTTGTAAGTTTGAGCATTTCATTGAACCCACACATTCATTTAACGACACACTGAGTGACTCATTTATTAGAATGATTTGCTTTGGTTCCTATGTATTTGATTCTATTGAATTGAAATGCTACATTTTCTGACTACAGTTTTTAGATTGTATCATCTGTAAAAGATGGTTTGTGTGGGTTTTTTTCTATCCAGAGGGGGAACAATCTTTGTCAATTACCCCTGAGGATCTTCACCATGTCTCATTTCACTTCTTGATGTCTTATTATCTGCTTTTAGGAAACAAATGTAATGCTGTTATTAGTGTTTATAAAGCAAGCTTCAAATGCTGCTTAACTTATAAACTTAAATTTAAGTATATTGTCATTATAAATCGATTTTAAAATCCTTTTTATTACCAAAGCTAAAGACTATTTTAGTCCAAATGTACAAACAAGTTGTTTAAAATCAATAAAGTGTCTGTAGTTAAAAAAAATCAAACTGGAAATCACAATACTTTTTAAAAGATAAGTTTTCATATATTATTGTTGTTGTTATGTGCTGTCGAGTCGCTTGCAACTCAGAGTGACCCTATGTACAACAGCCCTAAACTCTGCTCTGTCCTGTGCCAATCGCACTGTCTCTGACACTCCCATCCCGATTACCCCAGTCACTGAATCAATCCACCTCATAGAGGGCCTTCCTCTCCTGCGCTGTCCCTCCAAGCCTCCCAAGCATGATGTCCTTCTCCAAGGACTGGTTCCTCCTTGCAGCATGTCCAAAGTATGTTAGACGGAGCCACAGAATCCTTGCCTCCAAGGAGCAGCCGGTTTAACCCTCTTGAGGATATATAATGTTTTATAGTATATAAGTAGGAGTTGAATCCACTTCCTAAACAACATGCCTCTGGAAAATTTATGAACTTTTATAAATGTCGGTAGTTACATGGGGCTTCGGGCCTTTTATTCATAGGGTCGCTATGAGTCATGCTCGACTTGAAGGCAATCAGCAACAACAATAGTTTATAAAAGAAAGTAATTTTGATGCTTTAAAACACAAATACTAGCAGCAAGAAATTAGAATGGGATCATTTAAAAGTCTAAAATATTAATGAATCTATTTGAATGGACCATTGTAGAGGCACTATAGGGTCGCTATGAGTCGTCTGTGACTCACTCGAAGGCACTTAACAACAAACAACAGTTTAAGGTTCCAGTCCTTGGGAAATGACATTATGCTGAGAGAGGTAGAAGGTCAGAGAATAAAAGAAGATCCTGAACATGATGGATTGATGCGGTGACTGTGACAATGGTCTCAAGCATATCTCTGGATTGTGGGGATGGTGTAGGATATAGGAAGGGTTAGATTTGTTGTTCCTGGAATTGCTGTGAGTCATAGAGAGAGCTCATTTGGCCTAGTGGATAGAAAGTTATGCTACTAAGCCAAAGGTGGGTGAGTCTAATCTATGGCCCTCAGGCCTAGTTTTCATTGCCTTTGGTCAAACATTCTTCTAAGTGGTATAGCACTGGTCTGTCAGTTTGCTGTACAGAGGTAACTCGTGGTTGCTGTGATGCTAAACACTGTGACACTGATGTGTCAAATGTGATAACGGTTACCCATGGTGGACAGTGTTTGCTGGAGCTCCCCAATTTAAAACAAGCTTAGAAGCAGAAGTGGCATCCACTTCCAAAATAGCTTGCCTCTGGAAACGCTAAGAACTTGGAGAAATGATGAAAGTTATACAAGTGTTCAGGTCTTTCGTTCATAAGGTTGCTATGAGTCCTCTATGACTCGATGGCACTTAACAACAACAACATTTGAATGAAAACAAAACCTTTAAAATAGTAAAACACGTTGAACTGGGAGGGTAGAAACCAGGTTGAGGAGTACAAGAATTGAACTGGAAGAAAATAACACCCCTCCTCCTTCTTGTATAAGATCCCTGTGTGGTGCAGAGGTTTGTGTTTTACTAATACAGTAAAAGTCGATGATTTAAGCCCATCCATCAGAGCCAAGGAAGAAAGGCCTGGTCATCTGTTTCTATAAAGATTATAACCACGAAAATCCTATGGAGTCATTCAACCCTGTAACACAAGATTACCTTGCAGTTGCACTTGACTTGAACAAACAGATTTGGTGTGGTTTCCCTCTGTATTCCATTTTCTTTTCACTGGGCAGAGATCCCATCTGGAGGCATCAGGATTCAAAAACAAACAACAAATATTACACAACTACTTCTCTCTCTCTCTCTCTCTCTCTCTCTCTCTCTCTCTCTCTCTCATTACTATCCAGTCAGAACCAACTCATAGTTGGTTTCCAGAGACAGTAAATCCCACAGGAGAAGGTTTGACCATCTTTCCTCCACAAAGCAGCTGGTGGATTCAAACCCCTTTTGTTTGAGTTGTCATCAGAACTTTTTACCCAGTAGGCCACGTAACTACTAAGATATTAAATGGCTTCAATAAACTTTACATGTATTTGGAAAGGACAGGAGAGTTATGGAGGCGGCTAACAAGAGAGTGGGTAGAGAGAAGAAGGGGGTTCCTGGTCCCAGAGCAAGGAAAAGCCTTCCACCCACATCCTGTCCGTAGGGAGCTAACACATAAATATCTGATTGGCGAGCATGGTTGCTGGAGAAGCATCAGAGAAATTGTTCATCTGTGATTGGAAAGAGCAAAGACAGTCTTTGTGGAGCCCAGTGAGTGGCTGTGGCAAGAACAGTCCACATGCCCACAGTCCACAGAGAAAGCCTAAGTGCCAAGCCTGGTGATTAGCCGAAAGGTAGTGGCAAAATTCAGAGGGATCAACCATACAGAGACAGAGTCTACTCTTAAACAATTTTTTAAACATTTAAACATTTTTCCCCTTGGTTTTATTATTATACTAGTTTATTTACGAAATTAGAATACGTTGTTTGCCAGAACAGATTCTTCCAATTCCCCTTACCCTAGAACCAATAAATTGTACAACCCATGATCAGTCCCCCTACCCGGCACATCCTCATCCCTCTGCTTCCAGCCTCTCCCACCTCTCTTGGAACCTTACACTCATTCTACAATAATGGCTTTATATAATATTTATACTTGTTGGACTGAGTTAGTTCATTCAGCATAATGCTTCCCAGTCCCTTCCAAGTTAGGTAATAATTTGCAAAATCATTTCTCCTGCATGCTGCATAGTATTCCATTGTGTGAATATATCATAATTTCTCACACATTCGCTTGTGGTTGGATTATCTGGGCTGTTTCTGTGTTCTTATGATGGTGAATAATGCTGCTATAGGCACTGGTGTACAAGTCTCCATTTGTGCCTCAGTTTTCATTTTTTTCTGGGTATATTCCAAGTAATGGAATAGCTGGGTCATGTGGAATTTCTATGTTCAGC